GCACTGGCCTTCTGTGCCTCCCACATCCATCTGGGCAGCATGGTACACTGGCCACTCAGGGGTGTGACAGCACTGGGGACTCCTGCGGGGGAGGGACCAGCTGCCTGGGAGAGGACTGCAGAGGAGCAGGATGGCYGAGCCCCTGCTGTGCGCTCACCCCACTTGGCAGCACCCTGAGGAATGGTCCCCACTTCACACAACAGGAAGGTGGGCGACCACATCTGACCCCAGGCCCGAGGCCCTCCAGGATGCGCAGCATAGATTCACTCATGGCCGTGCTGCTGGTTTGCTGAGGGGGGGAGCAGGTCTCTGCAAACAGGAAGAGAAGCCAACCCAACCCATTACCATGAGACGGGACGGGGAGTCTGTCTGACTGGGCTGTCCAGGCAGGGCCCGCAGTGCCCTGAGCTCTGGCCAGTACCCTCGGCCCTCTGTGCTCCAGCATGCAGGGGCCAGCATGCAGGGCAGCAGTGTGTGGGCACTGTCCTGGGCCGCTGTGAAGATGGCTCCACCCAGGAGTGCCACACAGGCTGGTCAACAGACCCCCRAGGCACCCATGTATGGCCATGGGTTGCCCCCCACCCCACTAGGTTTTGTCCCCACGCCTAGGAAGGGCAGCTGGGAGCCTCTGGGAGAGACCATGCTGACCCATGCTGCCCACCCGGACCCACTCTGGGTGACAGAAGAGAACTGAATGCACCCGAGCATAAATCCATCAGGCAACACCAGCTGGGAGGACGGACTTGAGAGGCCAGAGTCGAGGGTCCAGCTCTGCTTCTTAGTTCACAGAGAGAAGGAGCCGCATCCTGTGGAGACCTGACACCACAGCCCTAGCACAAGTGCCACCATGCAGTGGCCATCATCCAGCTGTCACCACACCACAGCCTTCACCCCCACAGCTGTCCCAGCACCACGGCCACCACTAGGCCCTGCTGTGGCCCTGCCACAGCTGTCATCCATGGCCCACACTGCACCATGGCTGTCACCAGGCCTGGGATGGGAAAGCCCAGGCTGTGGTTCCCATGGGAGTGCCTTGGTCTGCCTTTTCCAAACGAACCATGTTAGTATTTTTTCCTTTCTCTTCTTCTTCTTTTTTTTTTTTGGTGGGGGGAGTGAACTGAGAGGTGCTGCACCAGTGAGTTGTATCTCAGCCCTTTTCACTTTACTTTGAGACAGTGTCTCACTAAATTGCTAGGCTGGCCTTGAACTTGCGATCCTCCTGCCTCAGCATCCTGAGTTGTGCAGAATACCTGCCTGGCAGCAGATGGTGCTCAGTGTGAGCACCCCCATGTGTGGGTCCAGGGCAGCTTACCACAAGGCTCAGGGTGAGCCTCAGAAGCTTTATCCAAGCTTCAAGCTGGAGTGCACAGCCCTGGAGGCTGGTCAGGGGCCCCACAGAGCACGCAGGGCCCAGGAAGGCAGACGGGAGGAGCTGGGAAGTGTGATTCCTCCTCACCTCGTGGATGCTGGTGAGCCAGGGCCCCACCATACAGCCCCACCCTGGTGGGGAATGAGTGGACTGGGCCACGGGGTGCCCAGCGGCTGGTCAGACTTTACCCTGGATCTGTCTATGAGGTGCTTCTGGGGGTGACTGACACATGAGTCGGTGCACTGTGCACGGGGGAGGGGGGCCCAGCTCAGACACAGCCCTGTCCTCGCCCTAGGCAGAAGCCGACAAAACACCAAGTGCMGTGTGCACCAGAAACAGCACCAGCTCCCCACGCTGCAGACCCATCCTCAGGGGGTCTAGGAGCTGGACTCCCAGGTGTGAGATCCATAACTGATCACGTGGGCCTTCAGTTCATCATGCAGATTTAAAGAGGAAAATCGACCTACACAGCCAGATGGTCAGAACGTGAAAGGAAGTGGTGGACCTTGAGAAATGCCCCTTACTGCAAGCTAGGCAGCCACAGGCGCTTCTCAGAGTCTAGTATGCACGGGCCCAGGCAACATGGCCACCCCTGCACAGGAGAGCTCTCCCAGCTCCCTGCTGGAGTGAGAAGCCCTGTCCACGCCTCTTCATGGTCGAGTGGCACTGAGACCCCACCCTGTCCAGAAGCCAGCCCCTGGCAGGCGCTGACCACTGGGGTGCCTTGGACCTGCAGCATCCTCAACCTCCTGGCCTCACTACAGAGAGTCCTTCCAGGTCATTCCACAGCCATCAGGGTTGTTGCAATCAGGGCCGGTGCAGCACCTGTGTGTTCATGTGACACCTTTGTTGTGGTCCCTAAGCAACCATCAGCACTGGATGGCAGCATGAGGTGGGGGCAGAGACACACTGTGTCCTCCATCCAAAACTCATGGCAGTCACCCCAAGCCTGATGCTTGGACAGCAGGCAGGTCTAGGTGCAGCTCCAGAGCACACGATGCCGGTGACAAGCCCACAGGATGGGGATGACCCAGCAGATGGCCCCTCCTCCAGACCCTCCTGCCCAGACATCTCAGAGTGAAGGATCTAACCTGCAGCATGAGAGCTGGTCCTCAGGCTCAGGTGCTGGGCACAGGTGAGCCCCTGCTCTAGGTCTCAGATCTCGTAAGCAGACAGGACTTTATGAATAACAGTCCTCAGGCTGCTCAGGGCCCCAGGAGGACTGCCTCACAGCTGCATAGAGCTGAACTGTGAGAGTTCGCAGGAGACAGTGCAATTCCAACTCACAGGTCTTCCTCCGATCCCCGCAGCCAGGCCACTGCTGCTCTCTAGCAGTGACACATGTCCCTCCTCCTCTGGGTGCCTGACCAGGTGCCAGGAGGCAGATGCATGCTGAACTTCTCTGATGTAGGCAGGCAAGTGGCTTCCAGGACAGGATGTGGGTTGAGCCCTAGCACTCGACCTAGAGGCCAGGGTAGCCCCCAGAGGCCTCCCCATCCTCATTCTGGAGCCCAGGAGACATCACCTCACAAGACAAAAGGGACTTATGGGTGTAACCAAGTGAAGGGACCCAGGATGGAAGTGTGTCCTGATCACCAGTTGGGCTCAGTGTGGTAAGGGTTAGTGTTAAGGGGACAGCTGGGGCCAGTCAGAGCAGGAGACAGGTGGAAGCGGAGGCCAGGGATGTGTACTGGTGATGGAGGAGGCTGCAAGGACACAGCCTGCAGAAGGAACCGCCCTGTGGCACCTGGGCTTCTGGCCCCTGTACACCCACTGTGAACTTTCGCCCACAGGACTGTACCAGAACGAATCTTGTTTTAAGTCAGACAGGCTGTGGCATTGCTTCGGGGTTATGGAAGGAAGGCAGTGATCCCAGATGGGCTCCAAGCAGGTGCTGTCGATGATGAGCATCCGTCACTGTCCTTGCTTTCCAGGTCCAGCTGACTAACATCATCCTTATTCTAGAAGGGTGTGGGACCCGCAGCCCTGCCCACAGTGCCTGTAGCTTCCCATGTCCCTAAGACAGATGTTCTCAGAAGTGTCTTGTCACAAGCTCCTGACCATTGGCAAATAGCTTTCCCAGAGCCCACACTGGCCAGCACCTCTGGCAGCATGGACGCCTCTCCCCATGTCCTCCCACAATGGAGGCTCCACTCTTGAATGTGAAACTGAGTTAGGAAGATAGTGTCTGGGAGTGTGAAGAGGTGTGATGGGGACCAGAGATGCCTAAGAGGATCTGCAGTTGGGGCTGCCCAGATCCTTTGTTGGCCCAGGCAGCCCTGACTGCTCCCGCTCCCTGGTCTTATGTAAGTGATTTCCCCCTTCTGAATACTGCACTGAGTAATTGCTACTTAGAAATACAAACACATCAGTATCTTTTTAGAAGCAGAATTAGCAACTCAGGCTTGGTTGAGATGACTGGACATGACAGCTCAGTTGTGGGACCCTCATCAACGAAACAGGCCAACCAATGTCCAAAAGTTACATGCAAACCTAGCCTGTAGTAAGGCTGCCATGCTCCTACTCCATTCAGCTCTCCTGCTTCTCTGAATGAGCTAACCCCTGGAGGGCTCCAGCTCTTGTCCCTGGACACCCAAAGGGCTCTGGCCAGCTGACCAGAGGTGGAAGGTTAGGAGCCTCTGTAGGAATGAAGCACCATGAGAGGAGTGACCGTCCCTTCTCTACTAATCCTGACACCTGCCCTGGTATACACAATGTTTTCAGGACATTCCATGATGCWCAATGTGTGCAAATGCAGGCTAACTGCAAGGGCAGTCTTTCTTCTGCCCTTGCCTTGTCTTGAGAACTTAGTTTAACCCACAAGTGACACTTCTGCCTAGCTCTTCTGTGCTGGAATTCTCCCATTGGTCAACAAACCAGAAAGAAGGGGGGAGAAAGCTACTGTGATATGATGGAGTCTCGCCCCCCCCCCCCAAAGCTGGCTTTGGCTCTGGCCCTGCTGCCCCAGGAGAACATAGGTCTCATTCCTTTGCCCTGGAATGACCAAATTTGGGGCCAAACCACACAGTTCTCTAGACCCTTAAGGTATCGCATATGTATATATTTTTTTAATATTTATTTTTAGTTTTCAGCGGACACAACATCTTTGTTGGTATGTGGTGTTGAGGATCGAACCCGGGCTGCACGCATGCCAGGCGAGCGTGCTACCGCTTGAGCCACATCCCCAGCCCCCCTTTTTTTTTTTTTTTTTTTTTAAATATTTATTGGTATCGCATATTTTTAGCTTCAGGTAGTCCACCTGGCTGAGCTGTTGGAAAGACTCCAGAGAAAGTGGATCAGGCCTGGATATGGATGCCCAAACTGACTCTAACCTAGAGCCCAGATTCTGCACACCCACCTTCACTCACGGCCCAGTGGTCAGGAAGGTCTGATGCCTGTGGCCTCACCCACCACTGCAGGAGGGTTGTACACAAACAAGACCAGGGCTCTCTTGGGGCCCTCTACCCCTCTATGTCCTGTCCTGTCCCAACCCCCGCGTGTGTCCCACCCATGTTGTTCTGAGATTGGCAGGCGGCCAGCGTTGCCACCTCCCACATGCTAGGCTTGCCCCCAGCCAGCACTTCCCTCCCCACCCTGCCCAAGGGTGGCCCCACCGACCCACCACACTCACCCGCTCCTCCTCCGCACGGATGTCCGGCATGGTGCTCAGGCAAAGGCCAACCGCCGTGACGGCCACGAAGGCCACGGAGACAAAGGCGAAGAGCTTGCCTGCCAGCCCCGAATGTGGGTTGTCCACCACATCGCGCAGGCGCTGCCGACTGCGCTCTAGCCTCCCCGGCCCGAGGGCGCGCGCAGGGCTCCCTGGAGCCACGTGCCCAGTCTGCACAGCGCGGGCCTCGGCGGCCTCCTCCTCCCGGCGGCGCAGGCGGCGCAGGCAGCAGCGCTCCAGGCGCGCCTCGTCGATGCCCCAGTAGGCCAGCTCGTCGCGGAAGGCCAGTGCGCACGGTCCACGCAGCAACCGCAGCTTGCCGGCGTGCAGCAGGGCCACTATGGCACGGAAGGCGCACGGGCTTCGGTCGAAGAAGAACTCGTCACGGCTCACGTCGTAGTCATCACACACGCGCAGCAGCTCGTCGCGGCCTCGGCAGGCGCTCAGGCGCTCGAGGCGCGCGAGGGGACAGCGCGCCAGCGCGGCCCAGGCCAGGCGAACCCTGCAGCCGCCGACGTTGATGATGACGTGCCGAGCGTGGGAGGGTCCACCACCAGGCGGCCAACTGGGGGGCTCCGCGTGCCCCGGGAGTAGGGCCATGGCCCCATGTGCTCAGAGGTGCTGCCCCAAGAGGTCACGGAGCCGCGCTCTTAGGAGACGGGGTCTGCAAGAAAAAAGAGGCAGGCGSCAGTGAACCTGCTGCTTTCTCCTCGCGCATTCCCAACCTCACAAAATCCAAACAGCGGAACTTTCAAGCTTTCTAGCCGAGCTGGTTAAGTGGAGACCTGGCCTTAACTCGTGGCCTGAAGAACAGTGACACATGCTGGGATTTGTGTTTTGGAACAGGTGCTGGAGAGAGGCTTGCACAAATTCATATTGGGGTCCGTCTTAGAGACACAGCCAGAGATCTGGGCAAGGCGTTGCTCAAAACAATGGGGAAAAAAACCTGGTAAGATAATTCTAAAATCAACTCTTTTTGAACTCTGGGAACTAACCAGCAACCTCGGAACACTCAAAATAGCACAGCCCAGTCTGAAGCTTTGCAGTTTTGACTGTGCCCTCCTCTTCTGCTCTGCTCCCAGCTTAGCAGTGGCCCTGGAAACACAGCCTGCAAACGCTCTCCCCTACAGTCGGACCTCCTGCACTAGAACTGTCATTACCTGGATCTGTCTGGTGGTTCCCAGAAGCCAGCTTGAAGGTCTTGGCTTTCTCTCTCATAACTGGCAACTCTCCCAGTGCCAAAGCAGGCAGTGTGGAGGGAAAATATTTATTGGCCAATGCCTTAGCTATTGCTGCTGAGGCAGTGGGTCACAGCTGGGATGAGCCACAGGCTAGGCAGAGTGTGTGGGAGGACAGGCTGGGGAGTGAGGCACTTTGGGGAATGAGAACTTAGAAATCTGTTCCAGCTAACTCCTGAGACTCCAGAATACCATGCTCAAGCCTGGACGGTGCACAAGCTCAGGAAAGACCGAAGGAGTTCCTTGCATCTCTCCTGGGCTGATCTCCACACTGCCAGCAGGTGGGGGCAAGGCAGAGATTAGGACAGACATGGAGAAGGTGAGGTGAGGGCAAGACTGTGGTGTGAACTGCCTGGCATGGGTTGGAGTGAGATAAACACACACACAAAGCCTGTGTGCAAAGCTTGTTTTGCTTTCCATTCTGGGMATTTAAGAATCTGTGTCCACTTACTCATTGACCACTAAGCTGATAGAACAGAGATGTTAGCAGCCACATTTTGAACAAAAATACAGACCGTTTAAAATTATTCCAGTCAAGTTATGGAACATCAGAAGGTACAACAAATCCCAGGGGGTCTGGTTTCAGACCTGCCTCTTAAAATGTGCTATGGAAAACTCAGGAGGTGTACMAAGAATGAAATGTGTAGCCTCCACAGAGAGAAACTGCAACAAACTGCCCCAGCCCGCTGAGACTGTGAACAGAGGAGACTGCAAGAATAATGTCTCGCCACACATAGGACCAGTGGACACAGATGTCACAGAGGGAGTGACAGAAACTCTGGGGCTGAAACATGCAGTCATGAAATGCGTCCTCCAGGGGCCCCAGGGCAGATCCAGGAGGCTGCAGAAGGCACCCTGACTTGACAGGCCACGGAGGGCATCATGTCTGAGGAGCCCAAGGAAGCTGAAGCCAGGTGCAGCAGCACCCACCTGTGGTCCAGCAACTCAGGAGCGGGAGCTGCAAGGTCCAGGCCAGCCTGGGCAACTTGGTGAGACCTGTGTAAAAGCAAAAATAAAAAGGGTGGGTTCATTGCCCGGGTGGGGGGAGAAACTGAAGAAAACAAGTGGATCCTGAGGTATGTGTGGCTCCTGTGGAGGGTGCCTACTTGTGGGATGTATGACATCCCACAAGGAGAAAGCAGCAAAAGAATATTTGAAGAAACTGCTGAGGGCCATTGCCAAGTAGGAATGACGCATCGAAATTTCCGTGCCAGCGTACCCCATGTTAAATGGACTTGCCTTGGAATTTAGCTGTTGACATTGCATGTAAGGTGACCTTGCTCAAGGACCAGGGCGGATCCGGGTTTAGAGTTTCCCCGCTCCTTGAGTTTAAGGCGTTCCCGGTTTAAGACAATATGGGTTTTAGGGAAGTTGGAGGTTGAAGATTATTGCTGCTGGGATTAGGGTGTTCCTGCTGCTTGTTCCCGTTGAGTTCTCGTGAGATTCAAATGGGATTTGGAAAAAGCCTCGTGGAGTAGGTGAATGGGGCAGCAGAACGGGATTTCCCCTGAACGTGTGTGGAGGCCGGTGTGAGTTCGGGAATAAAGAATTGCTGCTTGAATCTACAAAGTTGTGAGTGGCTCGTGATCTTGGCCAAGCCCAGACATTTGGCAAGAAACGATGGATAAAAATCCCCAAATTTGATGAAAACATAAATCCACACGTCTAAGCAGCTCTAGGAGCCTCGTGTCAGATGATTCAAGAGAGTCACATGAAGACACACCAATGTTGAGCTGTCAAGAGGCAGGTGAGGGGGCTCTGAGAGCAACCAGTAAGTGCTCGTGGGAGGAGCCTGGGGTCAAGTTTGGTGTTTCCTAAAGACTACAGGCAGACGCCTCCTCACACCTGTCAAYGTCCTCACCGCACACGGGAAAGAAGCAAGTGCTGGAGAAGAGTTGGCCAAATCAGAACTGGCCTGTGGCCGGCAGGAAGTGGGAAACGGCCTGGCAGCTCCCCAGAAAGGCCAGCCAGGGGCCACGGCCCTGCAAGCACAGCCCAGGAAGACACCAGAGAATGACAGCATTTCTCCTGTCAACCTGGACACAGCTGCCTGCACCAGCTCATGCCCAGCAGCCCAAGGTGACAGTGACCCAGATCCCACAACAGGCACAGGGGTGAACAGATTCGGCCATTCATACACCGGGACAGGTCAGCTGTGGAGAAGAAGGAGGTGCTGCTGCAGTGTGGCTGACCTTGGGAGGCGACGCCGAGGACAACCGCAGGAAGGGCTAGCAGGCCAGGGGCCCCTTCATGTGCCACATCCAGTCTACATGCACCCACAGGAAGACAAGGCTGGCAGCGGACATGGGCACCGAGTTTCTTTTGTGGAAGTGACAGTGTTCTGGGCTTAGTGGTGATGGTTATACTGTTAACATACCAAACCCACTGAATTGAGGGTTGAGATGATTAAAATGGTAGAGTGACCTTATGAGACTTAATCTAATTTACACACACACACACACACACACACACACACACACATATAGTACCTGAGACTGAATTCAGGGGCAATTTACTGCTGAGTCACAATCTCAGCTCTTTTTATTTTTTTATTTTGAGACAGGGTCTCTCTAAGTTGCAGAAGCTGGCTTTGAATTTGTGATCCTCCTGACTCAGTCTCTGGAGTTGCTAGAATTACAGGCATATGCTACTTTGCCCAGTTTAATCTCAATTTTTAAAAATTAAAAACAGCTTTTAAGTAGGTGCTGGGTAAATTACTGTGTCTAACCCACACAGTCTGAATATCTTGCTCGCTTGTTACATGCATCTCACATGTTAAGGGGTCCAGAGTGAGCTACCTGCCCCGGGGCAGCTCAGGCACTAGGGCACCCTCCTGCAGTGTGCTTCCCCTACAGCTGGGGGAAGGGGTGGTGTTAACAGAGGGAGGGAAAACATCCACAATCACAGTCCCTTCCTGCTGGCTGCGGGACTTCACCACTGCCGGGCATGAAGCCTGAACTCTGGAGGGCTGCCCGGGACAGTACCTGTGAGGGCCAGGAGCCTCTCCAACAGCCAGCACCCGTGCTACAGCTGCAAAGCCTTGCTGGCTGCATGACTGGCTCATCCAAGAGCCAAGCTTGTGTGTGAGTTCAAGCCCCACGGCCTTTTCATCCAGTGAACACCCAGTCTCAGTCCCTCGCCGGCCAGCTGAGGCCAAGGACCTGCAAATCCCAGGCTCTCTTGGATGGCATGCACTGAGAAGGGGTGCCCAACAGCTCCACCAGCCAGGGGTCGGTCGCTTCCTAGGCTCCAGGCCATAAATCAGGGGAACTTGAAAAAGTACTGCAGAAGAGGATCTTGGATTTTTTTCCCTTCTTCTCTTAAAGAGTCATTTTTTATTTTATTTTATTGTTTTGGTAATTGTAGATGGACAGCATGTCTTTATTTTGTTTATTCTTTATTTTTTTTAGTTGTTGATGTACCTTTATTTTTTATGTATTCATTTATATGCAGTGCTGAGGATCGAACCCARTGCCTCATACATGCTAGGCCAGCGCTTTTCCACTGAGGTRCAGCTCTAAGAGGGTCTCATCTTATTCAAAATCTCCGGAGACTGAACTTGCTCGAGGCAGGAAAACAGGAGCACGTGCAGGCCGGAGACTGCAGGAACTGCCCCTGCAGATGCCCTGGTGGTGCGGCTGCCTGGGGTCCTGCTGCGGCCTCCCACTGAGGGAGGACCTGTGTTCTGGCTGCCCTGGAGGTGCCCCCACCCCCCAAGGGTCACACTCAAGCCGAAAGCCACCCAGATGACCTTTCCTCTGAAATTACAGATAGTTCCAGTGCTGCTTGAGGGTTCCTGCCAGCTTCCTTGGGCTCTGGGTGGACATGGCTGTGAAAGGGCAGCACCTTCGCTTCACATACCTGTTGGAATGGAAGCAGAGACGGCAGCTCCTACCAGGAGCACACACACTGGGTTTTGCTCTCAGAAACAAAGAACCTCATCTGTTTCTTGGGGACCTCCCATCCCACTGTGCTGCTGTGTCCAACTACTGCCTGGCCCTGACCCCACCTCTTCCACCCACCTGGCTCCTGCTGTGGCCAAGGCCTGGTGGGCTCCAAGCTTTCTGTGGGTGGGGTGAATGATCATGAAGAAGAACCACAGAACTGAAGTGATGTGGAGGACTGTCTTCCTCGAGAGTACACACTTACCACCTGCCCCTAAGTCAACTTCCATTTGACYTAAAATTGTGAAGTTACTTGTGGAAACTCAAGTTCATTCCCATCCTTGGAGTGGAATGAAACGTGTGCTCTTGATCACAAAGAAAGTCTGAAGTGCCACAGGAAAAATGGGCAGATTGGCATGAAGTCTGATTGACAGTAGATGAAAAGAAGTTTTTAAATATGTGAGAAGATGCTCAGTTCAT